TGATTCCTCTCCTGCCCACACCTGACGCCTGGGTCTGCTTGTTTCCCTCTTCCCTTCCCAATTCCATTTCATTCTTGCTGCCCTGCTGCCCAAATGCTAGAACAGCTTGGTGACAAAAGAAGGGGAAATGTGAGGAATCAGCAGAGAGAGAGGAGGACATTTTCATTTCAGCCTTGTTTCCAGCTTGTCAGGATAACTCTGCTCTGACCATCCAGATTTGCAAGAGGCCTGGTTAGAGCTGAGCTGCCTTAAAACTTCCTCCTCTCTCTCTCTCTCTCTCTCTCTCTCTCTCTCTCCTCCCCCCCTCTCTCAGTTCTTTACTCTTTTCTTTTCTTTTTAGTTCACCACTACCTCAGTACTAGATTAGGTAAAGGTAAAGGTTCCGCTTGACATTTAGTCCAGTCGTGTCCAACTCTAGGGCGAGGGGCTCATCCCCATTTCCAAGCCATAGAGCCAGCGTTTGTCCAAAGACAGTTTCCGTGGTCATGTGGCCAGCGCGACTTGACACGGAATGCCGTTACCTTCCCACCAAGGTGTTACCTATTTATCTACTTGTATTTACATGCTTTCGAACTACTAGGTTGGCAGGAGCAGTACTAGATTAGCAAGCCTTTAAAAAGAAAAAAGAAACAAATGGACAGAATAGAACAGAATGGAAAGGGAAGATGAAAGCAGACCCAGGCACCGGGCCTAAGGAGGACAAGATTCAAACAGCAGCCAGTTTTTCAGCTACTCTGCCACTTTCACTGTTTCTGGTGTCTGCTGGAATGGCTTTAAATATAAAAACTACAAAGCCCTCCACATCACTTCAAGTGATATAAATACATTTGATTCCAAAAAAGTAGAAGCCCCTGCAGTGGAAGAAAAAACTGTGGAAGGGGGAGAGGGAATAGACTCCAGGCTGATCTGCATTGATTTTTATATCATGTACTTATTGGAAAATAAGATCATTATTTGTCAATGTAGTTGCACTCTCATATTTGTACCATGTCTCCCTTCTGATGGGGTAGGGTTTTCAACTAGGCAACTTGGGATAGGGTTTCCAGATACATGGCTACCAAAAGGAGGACATAGAAAGACAAAAAAGAGGGCAGAGGAGGACGTATTGAATGTTTCATTTGAATCATTCTGGATTAAACCCACAATCAATACAATTTTATTACAATTTTTTGTTGTTTAGTCATTAAGTAATGTCTGACTCTTCGTGACCCCATGGTCCAGAGCACGCCAGGCCCTCCTATCTTCCACTGCCTCCCGGAGTTGGGTCAAATTCATATGGGTTGCTTCGATGATACTGTCCATCCATCTCGTCCTCTGTCATCCCCTTCTCTTGCCGTCACACTTTCCCAACATCAGGGTCTTTTCCAGGGAGTCTTCTCATGAGATGGCCAAAGTATTGGAGCCTCAGCTTCAGGAGCTGTCCTTCCAGTGAGCACTCAGGGTTGATTTCCTTCAAAATGGATTCAACAGTCCCATTCAGAACCACAATTCAAAAGCATCCATTCTTCAGTGGTCAGCCTTCTTTATGGTCCAGCTCTTACTTCCATACAGCACTACTGGAAAAACCATAGCTTTGACTATGCATACCTTTGTCGGCAAGGTGATGTCTCTGCTTTGTAAGATGCTGTCCAGGTTTGTCATCGCTTTCCTCCCAAGAAGCAGGTGTCTTTTAATTTCATGGCTGCTTTCACCATCTGCAGTGATCATGGAGCTCAGGAAGGTAAACTCTGTCACTGCCTCCATATCTTCCCCTTCTATTTATGCCAAGAGGTGATGGGGCCAGTGGCCATGATCTTAGTCTTTTTGAGGTTGAGCTTCAGGCCATTTTTGCGCTCTCCTCTTTCACCCTCCTTAAGAGGTACTTTAATTCCTCCTCACTTTCTACCATCAG